GACCCCAGGTGGACGCCCTGCTCTTTCATCACCATCTCAGAATCAGCTTCCCAGGGAACCCAATCTTAGACACATGTGGTTGTTTCCTTCGAAGGTGAGTTTTTTCCAATCTTGAAGTTAACTTCAAATGTATCAAGACTGTGTAGTGTGAAGAAGTGATAAAAAGAGCTGAGAAATTGTCCAGTGTGTATCTCCTTTTCAGAAGGTTCTTGTATTATATGAATTGTTTAATGAGCTCCACCACTGCAGCTCCTATAAGGGCGGGGAGAAACATCATGGAATAGTGTCTAGGTTCCCGTGATGATTAACGTAGAGTCGAGGGGAGCAGGGAGTCCAAGAAGATTGTGATTTTGAACCTGTCTGACTGAGGGAGTAAGGAGCATACACAAAGAAGCTACCCAGGATGTGCATCTGTTATGTAATCAAAGGTGGGTAGAATACGAGAGCAGAAGAACAGCTGCTGGTAGAAACAGAGGCAGTGGCTTAGAATCTTGGCCCTGTTACTTCTCTTTATGTGACTGGGGAACTCACTTAAGGTCTCTGTGATTCAGGTTCTCATTTGTAAAATAAGGATAATAATACTTAAAATTGCTAGAGAATCTTTTTTTATTTCAAATGTGTACCAGTTATCTATTGCTGTGAATGAACCATTCAACACTTAGGAGCTTCAAACAACCATAGTTTATTATTTCTCACGAGCCTTAGTCCTTCCACATATGCACACAAGATTGGTAATTTGTCTTAATCAGTTATTATCATAATTGTGAAATTTTCTAATTCCATGATTCCTTCTACATTTATTAATTGGAATTCTATGGTAAAGAATAACTTTTTCAGAATGTATAACAATCTCTTTGCTCTACAGGAGAAATTAATACAACATTGTAAATCAACTATCCTTCAATAAAATTAATTTAAAATAGTAAAAAAAGAATAACTTTTTCTTCTCCCTCATTTAAATTATATACCAGCATAAATTCATAGACTCTTATTTTATTCTGTAGGCTATACTCCATTATTTATTTGAACGTTCCAGTTATCTGACCATTATCATAATAATGTTCAAGCTGAACATTCTCATAAATGAAAAATTACTTTTGCAGATTTCCCATATTATTCCTGACACCATGCATGCCTAGCTTTCCCTATTATCAATATTGCTCATAAGAATGGTACATTTTTTTCTTACCAAGGATGAACCTGTGTTGTTACTTCATAATCTCCAAAACTTCATAGTTTACATTTTTACATTAAGATTCACTCTTGGTGTTGTAAATTCTGTGGGTTTTGTTGAATGTATAATGACATTTGTCCATCATTATAATATCATGCAAAGTGTTTTTACTGTCCTAAAATCCTTTTTTTTTTCTGTCAAAGATAAGTTGACTACCTAGAGTAATGAAATTAGGAGCAAAAATAAACAAATGGGACCTAATTAAACTTAAAAGCTTTTGTACAGCAAAGGAAAGAATAAACAAAAGGAAAAGGCAACCCTCAGAATTGGAGAAAATGTTTTAAAATAAACCAACTGACAAGGGATTAATCTTTAAGATATACAAACAGCTCATGCAGCTCAATATAAAAAAAACAAACAACCCGATCAAAAAATGGGTAGAAAATCTAAATAGACATTTCTCCAAAGAAGACATTCAGATGGCCCACAAACAGATGAAAATATATTCAGCATCATTAATTATTAGAGAAATGCAAATCAAAACTACAATGAGGTGTCACTTTACACCAGTCAAAATGGCCATCATCAAAAATCTACAAACAACAAATGCTAGAGAGGGTGTACTGAGAGGGGAACCCTCCTACACTGTTGGTGGGGATGTAAATTGATTACCGCCGCTATGGAGAACAGTATGGAAGTTCCTCAAAAACCTAAAAATAGAGCTACCATATGATCCAGGCAATCCCACTCCTGAGCATATATCCAGAGAAAACCATAGTTCAGAAAGATATATGCATCCTGAAGTTCATTGCAGCACTCTCTACAATAGCCAGGACATGGAAGCAAGCTAAGTGTCGCTCAGCAGAGGTATGGATAAAGAAGATGTGGTACAGATGTATAATAGAATATTACCAGACTGTAAAAAAGAATGAAGTAATGCCATTTGCAGAGAAGTGGATGGACCTAGCAATTGTCATACAGAGTGAAGTATGTCAGAAAGAGAAAAACAAATGTCACCTAAAACTGCCTGTAGGTGGGATCTAGAAAAAAATGGTACAGGTGAACTGATTTGCAAAGCAGAAATAGAGTCACAGATATAGTGAGCAAACTTACGGTTGCTCGGGGGAGGGGGAATGGTATGAATTGGGAAGTTGGGATTGACCTATGTACACTACTGTGTATGAAATAATGACGAATGAGAACCTTCTGTGTAGCCTAGGAAGCGCTCCTCGGTGCCCTGTGTGCGTGCCAAACCCATTCAGTTGTGCCCGACTCTTTGCCACCCTGTGACTGCAGCCCACCAGACTCCTGTGTCCATGGGATTCTCCAGGCAGGAATACTGGAGTGGATTGCCCTCCTCCAGACTCAGTGCTTTATGGTGGCCTAAATGGGAAGGAAATCTAAAAATGAGTAGATATGTGTATAGGTGTAACTGGTTTGCTTTGCCATACAGCAGAAATGAACACAACATTGTAGAACAACTGTTCTCCAGTAACAAGTAATTAAAAAACTTGGCTGACTGTACTTATGGAGTCTATTTCTAGGCTCTCTGTTCTGTTCCATTGATCTGTTTGTCTGTTCTTTTTTTTTTTTTTTTTTTTTTTTTTTTTTTTTTTTTTTTTTTTTTTTTTTTTTTTTTTTTTTTTTTTTTTTTTTTTTTTTTTTTTTTTTTTTTTTTTTTTTTTTTTTTTTTTTTTTTTTTTTTTTTTTTTTTTTTTTTTTTTTTTTTTTTTTTTTTTTTTTTTTTTTTTTTTTTTTTTTTTTTTTTTTTTTTTTTTTTTTTTTTTTTTTTTTTTTTTTTTTTTTTTTTTTTTTTTTTTTTTTTTTTTTTTTTTTTTTTTTTTTTTTTTTTTTTTTTTTTTTTTTTTTTTTTTTTTTTTTTTTTTTTTTTTTTTTTTTTTTTTTTTTTTTTTTTTTTTTTTTTTTTTTTTTTTTTTTTTTTTTTTTTTTTTTTTTTTTTTTTTTTTTTTTTTTTTTTTTTTTTTTTTTTTTTTTTTTTTTTTTTTTTTTTTTTTTTTTTTTTTTTTTTTTTTTTTTTTTTTTTTTTTTTTTTTTTTTTTTTTTTTTTTTTTTTTTTTTTTTTTTTTTTTTTTTTTTTTTTTTTTTTTTTTTTTTTTTTTTTTTTTTTTTTTTTTTTTTTTTTTTTTTTTTTTTTTTTTTTTTTTTTTTTTTTTTTTTTTTTTTTTTTTTTTTTTTTTTTTTTTTTTTTTTTTTTTTTTTTTTTTTTTTTTTTTTTTTTTTTTTTTTTTTTTTTTTTTTTTTTTTTTTTTTTTTTTTTTTTTTTTTTTTTTTTTTTNTGAGATTTGCTCAGCGTTCAAATGTTCTTTCGATGAATTTGTAGGAGAGAAAGTGGTCTCTCCGTCCTATTCCTCCGCCATCTTGGCTCCTCCCCCCCTGTTTGTCTGTTCTTTTGCTGGTATCACTTGGTCTTGATTACTGTGAAGTTGCTGAGTCATGTCTGACACTTTGCGACCCCATGGACTGTAGCCTCCCAGGCTCCTCTGTCCGTGGGATTCTCCAGGCAGAATGATTACTGTAGCTTTATAGAGTCTTGAAGTCAGGCAGCATTACTTCTCCACCTTTGTTCTTCAGTATGGTTAGCTAGTCTGCGTCTTTTGCTTTTTCATGTAAACTTTAGAATCAGTTTGTTGATATCCATAAAATCACTTGCTGGGATTTTGATTAGGATTACCTTGACTCTAAAGATCAAGTTGGGAAGAACTGATGTCTTGATAGTTGAGTTTTTCTATTTATGAACATTGAGTGTCTCTCCATTTATGTAGCTCTTTGATTTCAAAGTTTTTTTTTTTTTAAGTATTTATTTTTAAAATTTGGCCGCATTGGATCTTAGTTGCAGCATGATGGCTTTCCGTGCGGCATGTGGGGTCTTAGCTCCCCAACCAGGGATTGAACCTGCATTCCCTGTGTTACAAGACCGACTCAGCCACTGGACTAGCAGGGAAGCTCTGTGGATAAAAAAATTGAACCTGGAGAATTAGGTAACATGTCAAGGACAAGACTAGCAGTCTGATTTCAGAAGCCACCGGCCTGACCCCGGCTGCATGCTATGCCTGTCTGTTCCCACGGGGTTAGACGCCTGTGGCCTTCAGGAGGAGAGGGGCTGTGTCTGTCTTGTTTACTGGGTTGCCCTTAATAAGTGTTTCTTAAATGAATGAAGAAACTGAGGGCCTGTTACCACCTATAAATTCATGTCACTTAAATGGAAACTTCGAATAAGTACTCTTTTATTTTTAACTTGGAACATTTTCCCCTAGCAGTAAATAGATTTGATGAGAAGTTGGCATGAGTTAAATTAGCAGTCTTTGTTTAGTAACTTACATGAAAAAAGTCTGCATCGTTTTAATACTAATGGGTCAGTTAGGAGTCCCAGCTCACCCCTGATGTGACTAATGCCTTCCTTTTCTCTGTCATGAGTGTATGAGAAATGTTCATTAGGAATGAACCTCAGCTTCCTTCTGTACACTGTATAAAGTGTCCCTCAAACGTGTATAACCTTAAAACAGGAGCAGCAGCAACGCTGATACCGAAAATGAACGTGGAGAAGAGAAGCAGAACTTAGTTTTTAGGGAGAGGTTCATCCACTGTTAACCTTTTGATCTTAACTCTTTGGCACAAGGATATGTAATAATCTCTCAGGGGTTCTGGGCTTTAATAAAATTGTTTTGGCTTGGCTAAATAAATTTGTGATTTTGTAAGTTTATGGTACCCTCTATATCCTAAAGAGTATTAGGAGAGTCTTAGTGAGTTTTATGTCATATCATCATATTCAAATTATGACTGTTTTCTTCCCTGTTTTCCTTTTTAGGGTCTTTCAAGACACTTATTCTTCCATCAGTAAGTATTTATTTTAAAAATTTAAAATTTATTGAAATTTATTAATTTATTAAAAATATACACTGTGTCAGTGAAATAAATAAATTCAGATTTTATTGGCTTTCGTATTGATTTACATGCCTTGTGAGTTTGGCTTGAGTTCGGTTCCACCTTCAGATTATTTAAGAATAATATTTCTCCAGGGAGATTGGTTATTAGCATCTTCAGACTCATAGTGGAGATTTTCCTCCTGTAAGATAGAGAATGTCACTGAGGGGACTGGCCTGGACTATTCACACAGGGACCTGGGTGGGTTTGGTCCTGCTTCTGCCCTAATGAGCACAACAGTCTTGGGTGTGTCATTATTGCTTCCTCCCAGTTTCTTTGTCCTGGAAAAGGGCAGTGCCTCGCTGAACAGAATTGCTGCTTGAGGCAAAACAAACAAACAAAAATCAGTAATTGATACTGATCCTATCTTTGATTAAAATTTTGATTGTTTTTGCTTCATAATTTTGTATTGCTTTTGCTATTTATTATTGAGTTTTTTGCTATTCTTGAGTTTTTTGCTATTTTTGAGTTTTTTGCTATTATTATTGAGTTTCTTGATTATTGAGTTTTTTGGCACACTCTTAAATTTTGCACCTGAGGCAAGTGCCTGGCTCACCTCACCATGGTCCCAGCCCTGGAGAAGGGGATAAAAGTGTAGCCTGATTCATAGAGGCTACCTTGGAGGTGAAATGAGGTATAGACATGCTGTGGCATCTGCTGTAGCAGTGGGAAGAGTTATTCTTTTGTTGAGAGAGTCAAAAAACCTGGTTATTCAATGTTGCTTGTGAACTAGTCCTACTTCTCATAGCTTTGATTTGGAAGTTTGTCCTTTACAACTGTTTTCTTTTGGAGTGTCACACATTTAATGTATAGTTAAACACAGCATCCACTTTTCTGGGACTAGATGAGTCACGACTTTGACCTTGACACATTACACACTTACGTAGGGTCAGCATCTCCCGATAAGCCAGGTTCTCCATTACCTCTTGAAGATTGCTTATCAAGCACATTCAGAAATCACATTCATTTTGAGGGGGAGTTCTTAGAGAATGGGCTTCCCTGGTGGGTCAGTAATAAAGAATCTGCCTGTATTGCAGGAGACCTCAGTTCAATCTCTGGGTCGGGAAGATCCCCTGGAGAAGGGAATGGCAACCACTCCAGTACTCTTGCCTGGAGAATCCATGGACAGAGGAGCCTCATTGTGGGGGGTGGGGGTGGGCTACAGTCAGTGGGATCACAAAGAGTTGGGCATGACTGAGTGACTAATACTTTCACACTTTTCACACTCTTAGAGAATATAGTGCTCCCAAACAGTTCTTTCCTGGAGTAGGAAATGGCAACCTTCTCCAGTATTCTTGCGTGGAAGATTCCATGGACAGAGGTGTCTGGTGGGCTACAGTCCATGGAGTTGCAAAGAGTCAGACACAACTGAATGGCTGAGCACAAACAATCTGTTATAAAAAGTCCTTGATCTTGTTCAGTCTCTAAGTTGTATCTGTCTCTTTGCCACCCCATGGCCTGCAACATGCCAGGCTTCCCTGTCCTTCACTGTCTCTGGAGTTTGCTTAAATTCATGTCCACTGACTCAGTGTTGCTATTTAGTTATCTCATCCTCTGCCACCCCCTTCTCCTTTTGCCTTCATTTTTTTCCCAGTGTCAGGGTCTTTTCCAGTGAGTTGGCTCTTTGCATCAGGTGGCCAAAATATTGGAGCTTCAGCTTCAGCATCAATCCTTTCAATGAATATTCAGGTTGATTTCCTTTAGGATTGATTGGTTGGATCTCCTTGCAGTTCAAGGGACACTTAGAATCTCCAGCACCACAGTTGGAAAGCATCAGTTCTTCAGTGCTCAGCCTTTTTTATGGTTCAACTCTCACATCTGTACATGACTACAGGAAAAACCATAGCTTTGTCTATATAGACCTTTGTCATCAGTGTGATGTCTGTGCTTTTTTTTTTTTTTTGATGCCTCTGCTTTTTAATACACTTTCTAGATTTGTCATAGCTTTTCTTCCAAGGAGCAAGTGTCTTTTAATTTCATGCCTGCAGTCACTGTTAAAATCATGGCTGCAGTGATTTTAGAGCCCCTAAAAATAAAATCTGTCACTGTTTCCATTTTTCCCCCATCTATTTGCCATGAAGTGATGGGACCATGAGCTTAGTTTTTTGAATGTTGAGTTTTAAGCCAGCTTTTTCACTCTATTCTTTCACCCTCATCAAGAGGCTCTTTAGTTTCTGTGTGCTTTCTGCCATTAGAGTGGTATCATCTGCGTATCTGAGATTGCCAATATTTCTCCCGACAGTCTTGATTCCAGCTTGACATTTCACATCATGTACTCTGCATATAAGTTAAATAAGCAGTGTGACAATATACAGCCTTGACATACTCCTCTCATAACTATTATATTTCATACGTAGTATGTTTGTACTTACTTACTAAGAAATATACGCTGTAATAATAGAAAGTAGGGGCAGGGGAAGTGAAGGCATAAGTAGACAGAGTGGGGTTAAAAAAAACCTAAACTTAATGACAATAAGGTAGTAGACTGTGTTAATACGACCTCAGATGTTAGGTACTGGCTCCTCATGCCCGTGTCCCTAACTCTGTTGAAAGAGTATTACAATGAGAAGATTAAAATAAATCCTGTGTGACTTAATTGTCTGATAGCAGAAGGGGGTGAGATTTAAGCTCAGGAAGGACAGCTTGAAGCACAGTAACTGCTTTCCTCAAAGAAGTCCACAGCTGCACTGGCTAGAGGGTGGTAAGACTGGCAGGAGTAGGCGTGTGGGTGGGACCAGAGCACTTGGGCTGGGATTCCAGTAACCCCCCTCTAAACTGTACTCATCCCATTTATCATTAGCTGCAAATTTCACTACTGTTATTCTTTAAATTAAAAAAAAATTTTTAAGTTTTTTTTTGGCTGCACTGGGTCTTTGTTGCTGCACGAGGGCCTTCTCTCGCTGCAGCGGGCGAGGGCTGCGGTCTAGACGGGGTGCGCAGGCCTCTCTCTGCACTGGCTGCTCTTGTTGGGGGCACAGGCTCTGGAGAGGAGGCTCAGTAGTTGCGGCACGCAGGCTTAGCTGCACACAGGCGTGTGGGATCTTCCTGGACCAGGGATCGAACCTGTGTTCCCCGCCTTGGCAGGTGGTTTCTTAATCACTGGACCACCAGGGAAGCCCTACTCTTATTCTTTAAAGTCTTAACTATGTGAAATACTCACCCCAATATCTCATATTTGTCTGTAACATTTTTTTTTGTTGTATGTAGATATAACAATTACCTGTTGAAAATTTTACTAGAGCTTGTATTTAGGACTAGATCCTTTTTTAGTAAAACAGAACTTTAAAGACTTAGTCATAAAGTGTCTGGGAAAATTTGATAATGCTTGGCAAAAATAGAAGGTTCTGCATTTTTATGAGTTTTTGATGAAAATAGACCTGCCTTTAAAAGCGTACTTTTATATAATATTTAAAATTAGTTTTTAAAGTCCTCATGAATTTTTGCTGCAAAATATGACTATTTTGGCTGTATTGAAACATGTGTTTTTAATATTTGATTTTAATATCTGACTGGCTCATTGTTTCTGCTTCTGATATAGTAAAATCAGCCTTCAATAAGAAGTAAATAAAAAAAGCAATTTATGCTTAACATAAAGGTTGTTTTTTGTATAAAATATGCTAGAAAAAGTTTCTGTTATTCTCTGTGTAATAAAACTTAAAATGAGGGAGTGGCTTTTAAAATTAAAATGCTTAAAATTTTAAAATTTTATATTGGAGTAGAGTTGATTTACGATGTTGTGTTAGTTTCAGGCATACAGTAAAGTGAATCACATATGCATATACGTATATCTAGTCTTTTTCGGATCTTTTCCCATATAAATTGTTACAGAATATTGAGTATAGATCCCTGTTATACAGTAGGTCCTTGTTGATTATCTGTCTTACATATGAAAGTGGAAATTGCACAGTCACGTCCGAATCTTTGTGATCTCATGGACTGTAGCCTGTAGCCTCTGTTCAGGGAATTCTCCAGGCTTGAATACTGGAGTGGGTTGCCATTTCCTTCTCCAAATCTTCCCAACCCAGGGATCGAACCCAGGTCTCCTGCATTGCAGGCAGATTCTATACCAACTGAGCCACTCAGGAAGCCCCATCTTGCATATAATAGTATGTATATGTTAATCCCAACCTCCTAATAAAATTAGAATGCTTTTAATGTTTAATTACTAATATATTTTAAAACAGAAACTATCATCCTAAGTTTCTCAATTTTATTTAGAAAGTTATTTGAAATTGCCATTACTTTTGGTAACTGGAGTTATTAGTGAAATAAAGTAGTATTAAATACTCTTGTGTTGTCTCAGTTTCCTTAAGACAGTGAATCTTCCAGAGAAGGTGAGATGGTTTTAGATGGGCCAGATTAGAATCAGGAATCCATTTATTGTCCATCAGGAACTTTCTGAGCATTCCTCTGTCATGTATTCTGGGTGGAGAGCTGTCATCTGCCTGGAGAGTTTGTGTTGATGTATATCCAGAATAGACTTAGCGTAACTGAGAATCAACAGTGCTCAACTCAGGTGCTGGTTGATATTCTGTTGATCTAAGTCCTGGGGAGTATACACCCCCAGCCTCTCGTCCAGCTGTCAGACAGTGTCTGTCTCTGGGAACCACGTCTTTCCCCAGTACTGCGACTTCAGCTGAACACATAGGATCCAAAATCTCTGTAGGTAAATAATTGGTTCTTGTGTAAGAGATAAGGAACCCCTTTATTACCAGGCTGGGAATTCTTTTCAGTAATTGAGGGAGAAGGCGGGAGGCAGTTTACCAGGAGATTCAGGAGGTTTACTACCTTTGATCCTCACCACCATCCGAAGCAGGTTACCACTGAGTGTGTGGGCCTGGCACAGGGAGACTCTTTCATGAGGATTGCCTAACATCGCCAGTGTTTTCTCCAGTATCCTATCACTATGTCCCTCCACTGTTACCAGTGGAGGGCCAAGGTCTGTACTGACACCCGAAGTGACAGTGACAGGTGACACCCTGGGCCGTGTAGGAACGCCCCCCGGTTCATGGGGACACTCCAGATCCATTCTGACAAGTCCATATTGTCATCTCTGACTTTCCAGCCCTGGGATCAGCCCCGAGGCTTTGAGGATCCTAAATTGCCCAAATTTTACATATGAGGAGGTGGGATTTCTACCAGGCGAGATTTGAAAAAGAGAATTAGGGTAACTGAAAGGAGCAGAGAGTCAGTACTGTCTCCTCTTGTGTATCAACTCCCCGAAGGAGGATGGAATAGGAGACAGGAAAAGTCCTTGGACACCTTTGTGTCACTTCTAATTCTCTAACTCTTTGACTCTTCATGGTTAATAAGTCTTTAGTTGCAGGCCTCTGCATCATTAATTTGGTAGAAGTCTTTAATCCACTGGGGCTTTCCTGGTGGCTCAGATGGTAAAGAATCTGCCTGCAATGCAGAGACCTGGGTTCGATCCCTGGGTTGGGAAGATTCCTCTGGAGAAGGGAATGGCAACCCAGTATTCTTATCTGGAGAATTCCATGGACAGAGAAGCCTGGTGAGCTACAGTCCGTGGAGTCACCAAGAGTTGGACACGACTGAGCCACTAATACTACTTTAATCTACTGTCTGTTCTGGGGCCTCTGTGCCACTAAAAATGATACCCAAATCATGGAGAGACGTTCCATCTAATCCCATATTTTTAAAGCATGAGCTGTTTATAAATCTGTGGCATATCCAAGCAAATGATATGCTGGCTCCTGGAATATATATTTTCCTGCCTACCTTCCCTTGTGGCTCAACTGGTAAAGAATCCGCCTGCAATGTGGGAGACCTGGGTTTGATTCCTGGGTTGGGAAGATCCCCTGGAGAAGGGAAAGGCTACCCACTCCAGTATTCTGGCCTAGAGAATTCCATGGACTGTATAGTCCATGAGGTCACAAAGAGTTGGACATGACTGAGCAACTTTGACATGTACTCTTGGGTACATGCTTACAGTATTGAACACTACATTTAAAAGAATCTGAGGACTGAAGCATCATGTGAGAGAATAGTATAGGAGGATGCAAGTGCTAGGCTAGGTTCTCAGCCCCCTTGGGTGTACATCTTTGGTTCGTGTTGAATTCCAAGCTCGGAGGTGCTCAGTGAATGTTTATTAAAGGAAAGCAAAACTCAGTACTAGAGATCATTTGAGGGTGATATGACTGTTTCTCCTGACAGTTTATTAGACTTCCCTGGTGGCTTAGACGGTAAAGCGTCTGCCTATAGTGTGGGAGACCCAGGTTCAATCCCTGGGTCAGGAAGATCTCCTGGAGAAGGAAATGGCAACCCACTCCAGTACTCTTGCCTGAAAAATCCAATGGACAGAGGAGCCTGGTAGGCTGCAGTCCATGGGGTCGCAAAGAAGCAGAGTCGGACACGACTGAGCGACTTCACTTTCATTCACAACAGTTTATTATGAAAATATCAAATATCCAAAAAACCTGAAAGAGGTTCATAGTGAACAGTCTTGTAGCTACCACTTAGAGTCTACTGTTAACGTTTTACCGTGCTTGCTCTGTCACATATTTAATCTATCTACTCATTTCTCCATCCATGAATTCATCTTATTTTTAAAATGCTTTTCCGCATAAATTGCAAACATCGAAGCTTTTCTCCCTGTCACGTCGGCAGTTCATCACGTTTCCTTCATATTCTTATCCGTGTTCCTGGCTTTTTGGTGGTTGCTATTGCTGGAGACTCTCCTCAGAGCCCTCTGTGGGCAAATCTTATTTTTTCCCAAAGGAGGCAGAACGTCATTTCAGAATCTCGGGTTTAAGAATATGAAGATGAACTACAAGTCAGGTGTGCTAGTTATCTACTGCTGTGTAACCTATGGTCCCCAAACGCTGGTGTAAAACAGTCAGAAATTTTATTACTTCCCACAGTTTCTGCAGGCGGCTGTGTGGCTGAGCGGGTCTGATGTGGGGTCTCAGGAGACGGCACTTCCAGTGTCCGAGCCACTGACGTCTGCAGGCGTTCCCGGGCCTGGGGGGCCCCGGGAAGGCCGCTGTTCACGCGGCTGGCAGGTGGGCTGTGGCTGTTGGCCTCTGTCCTTCCCCACGTGGGCCTCTCACGGGCCTCTTGAGTGTCCTCATCGCATGGCAGCTGACCTCCCCCAGAGCCTCGGATCCGAGAAAGTGAGAACCAGGCAGAGTGTATCTGGTCAACGATGCAGCCTCATTCCACTCCTGAGGAGCAGGTCACTGGAGATTTAGGCTCCCACTTTTGCAAGGAGGAGGGTCAAAGAATATTTGGACACGTTTTGTTTTAAAAAAAACTTTTTATTTTGTGTTGGGCTATAGCCGATGAGCAACCTCGTGACAGTTTCAGATGAACAGGAAAGGGACTCAGCCATACATACACATGTTGGATATGTGGATGGATTTCTCCCCCAAACTTCCCTCCCAACCAGGCTCCCCCATAACGTTGAGCAGAGTTCCATCTGCTGGACAGTAGGTCCCTGTTGGGTTTCTGTTTTAAATATAGCAGTGTGGACATATTTTAAAACCACCACACGAAGGCTCTTGTTAGAGTATATAGCTCATCCTAGGTCTGAATCTCAGCCAGTGACCTGGAGCAACTTCTTTCATTTTTCCAAGCCCCCAGGTTCCTGGTTGTAACCTGGCATTTGTTAACAGCATCCCCTTGAAGGGTTGTTGTGAGTGGAACGACACAGCGTGTGTAAGTTGCTGAGTGTGGCTTCTGGCCTGTCAGTGCTAGAAGGTAGGATTTCCACTAGTGACAGAAACAGTAACAATATCTTAATGCCATCAGATGGACCAGGACTATGGCGCGATGCACAAGGTGGGGCAAGGGAGTGCCTCTTGGCACAGGTAAGAGATCCTGGAGAGAGAATAGCAAGAAGACCAGTCTTGTGCAAATGTGCCTTTGGGCTGCCTCAGACAGGGCAAGGCACGGAAGTGAATGCTGAAGGGTGTTCTGACTCACAGTGACTGTACGTGCAGAAGAGTTTGTACTTGGAATAGGAAGTCAGAAGGTGACTGCTGACAGGCCTGTGGGGCGAGGCTCCTGCAGTCCAGGAACCTTGAGAATTAACTACAGAGCAAACTCCAGGATGTTGAAAGAGGGAAAACAAATTTTTTAATTGTGGTGCCCAGGAGTGGCACATTTTTCAACATTGCAATTACTTTTGATAATACTATATATTTAAAACTTCAATTCTAACTTACAATTAAAAACATTTTTGAGGTAAAACGATGAGACCTTGATACATATGATGTCTTTTTTTTTTTTTCCCCCCTAGCTACCTCTGAACAGTGCCGATGAGATGTATGAGCTCCGTGTCACCGGACGTGCCCAGGATGAGATTTTATTCTCGAATAGTACGCGCTTATCATTTGAGACCAAGAGAATGACTGTCTTCATTCAAACAGACAAGCCCCTATATAAACCAAAGCAGGAAGTGAAGTTTCGTGTTGTTACACTCTTCTCTGATTTTAAGCCTTACAAAACCTTTTTAAACATTCTAATTAAGGTGAGTGCCAGGTGGAAATGAAACTGGGGGTTCAGGCCATCTCATGGAGCTCTCTTGGAAGTTCTGCTGACATTGTTGGTCCTGGGACAACTGAGGAGTCACGTGGCTAAGCTCCCTTCCTGACGTGGGGACGGTTTCCCTAGGTAGGGGATGGTAGAGCATGGGTTAAGAGCTCAGGCTCCAGAGTCAGCCTGCTTGGGCTTTGGTCCCAGTTTCTTCATTGATTAATTCATTTGCCAAACATTTGTTAAACCTCTGTGACCTCGATACAGAGGGTGAGTCCTTGCTCACACTGATCTTATATCCTGGTGGGTAGTGGACAAATAATAAATTAACATACAAATATATATAAAAAGGAATAAGTGTATGTATGTGTCAAAGAGAGGGAAAGACCTTGTGTTTGCTGTTTTCAACAGGGTTGTTAGAGAAGTCCTATTGAAACAGAGACCTACAGGAAATAGTAGACTCTACAAACAGAGGGCATGGCATATGCAAAGGCCCTGTGGTAGGAACTTGTTAGGGCCATGAAGGGAGTGAACTACCAGTGCACTATTTCCCAGGAAGTGAGGGGACAATATTAGGAGATAAGTCAGGTATGAGTAGGTTGACTGGAGGAGGGGCTGTATGGGATTTTCTTGGCTATGATATGGACCTTGGATTTTACTGTGAGGGAAATGAAAATTCCCTGCAGAATTCTGAGGAGAGGAATGGTACGATTTGACTTCACGTTTTAGAAGGATCGCTTTGTGCTCTAAGAAGTGCTTAGATGTGCTCGCTCTGTGACCTTCAGGAAATGAATCAACATCTCTGATTCTTGGTTTCCTTATTTGTAAAATGCGTAAAAATAATAATACTTTTGTGAGGATTATGTGAGGTGGCTCAAGTAGAGCATTTAGAACTGTGTCCAGCACATAGAACATGCTCACTAAACATTAGCTATAGGAGCCCCTTCTGGCAAGAAGTCTTTGGCCTCTGCTGCTGGAACACTCCAAGCTCTGAAAGCAGTGTGGTTAGCAGACCGAGTGCTTTCTGGTGAGAACCAGGCTGAAGATGGCTGAGATCCAGGTGGACCTGGTTTTCTACATGTAAGCCGAGGAGAATATTAGACATTTGATCAATGGCATAGAAATAGGGTGAGCAACTCAACCCAGTTTTCTGGGACTCTCTTCAAGCTAGGATACGTTTGTAGCGAATACCACATGGGTTGGCATGTTCGATGCATGTTTCTTGAACGGCACTGGTATTATTTCAGAATTTGCAGCTCTGTGAATTTCTGCCTTTGCTGTGTTGGAATAAAGCAGGTCGCCATAGTGAACAGCATTTCTAAATTCATGTAACTTTCTAAATGGAGTTTATGGATGCCATTCATACTGTCCTTCATCCTTTGTCCACAAATACCGAACGCTCTGTGTAAAAGGAGGATTCAGAAGTGAATGTCTGTCTGTGTCTGGTTGTTTGCATTAGATCTGCCTGTTTTCTATCTCAGTTGAATAAAAGTCAGCCCTGGATAAATGGTCTGTTCCAGGTGTTAACCCAGAAGGAACCCTGCTGATTCTGTTCTGTGGATTCGTTGGGCTCATCTCTCAGATTTTGGACTTGGCCTGACACATTCGTCTTTCCTGGAAGCGCATGGAGAGACCTTCCTCTTGCTGCTTCTGGTTCTGAGGGATCCTGCTGGCCTGGCTGATGGGGAGCTTTCTTGGTCAAGTGAAGTGAAAGTCGCTCAGTCGTGTCTGACTCTTTGCGACCCAATGGACTGTACAGTCCATGGAATTCTCCAGGCCAGAATACTGGAGTGGGTAGCCGTTCCCTCAGTCCATGGAATTCTCTAGGCCAGAATACTGGAGTGGGTAGCCTTTCCCTCCTCCAGGAGATCTTCCCAACCCAGGGATCGAACCCAGGTCTCCCGCACTGCAGGCAGATTCTTAACCAGCTGAGCCACAAGGGAAGCCCTGGGGAGGAGAATTTAGACTGAAATTCTACCAGGAACCCACGGTGTTTGGGACCCTGCCCTCCTCCCTCTGAAAACAGTCCTTTGGGCCCAGTTCACCAGACTGTGATATTTCCTACATTTTTCTTGGAAAAATTTCCCAGAAGAAAGTAGGTCTTTAGTGTAGTGAGAGCCCCTGATGTGGACCAAGTTGTACTTGCTAGCACAGCGCGCCCTGCAGGCGAGTGTGGAGAATGCATCTTGGATCTACACGAGGCCAACTGTTGGGGGCCCATGTTGCCCAGCCAAGAATGACTCACTGTAGGATGTACCTAAAATATTGACCATCATAGCATATTCAGGCACTTCGGTGTTTTTCTGGGATCATTGGTTATTTCCCCTGATCTACTGACTGGCTTTCTCAGGAAGCAAAGGGGCTTCAGGGGCCTATTTATGGTAATATAAACCTCTTCCTCCTAATTCTGGCGCCTCCAGCCAGTTTGTCCTTACACAATGGAAATATAAGTGTCTTGAACAGTGTGACTGGGGGCTTCCCAGGTGGCTCAGTGGGTAAAGAATCCGCCTGCAATACAGAAGACACAGGAGATGTGGGTTCGATCCCTGGGTCGGTAAGATCCGCCAGAGAAGGGAATGGCTACCCACTCCAGTTCTTGCCTGGAGAATTCCGTGGACAGAGCTCTGAGCCTGGAGGGCTACAGCCCATGGGGTCACAAAGAGTCGGACGTGACTGAGGCGACTGGGCACAATAGTGTGATGGTCACCGGCTGGCAGTTTTCTACCCTGGCTGCCCTTCCTCATGAGGTTCTTGCTTCTGGAACAGGTAGATGGTCTTGTGGGCATGGCGGCTGGCCTGGGGTCCATCCTGTCTGTGGCTGTGCTCTGAAACTTTGGCCTGGAGCAGTGGTGGCAAACCCAGAACCTCATCCTTGGCCAGAGTAGGGGCCACCACATTTCTTTAATTCTACGTGCTAGACACTTAATGTGTGTGTGCTGTGCTCAGTCGTGTCCGACTCTTGGCGACCCCATGGACTGTAGCCCACCAGGCTCCTCTGTCCATGGGATTTTTCAGGCCAGAATTCTGGAGTGGGTTGCCATTTCCTTCTCCAGGGGATCTTCCCAACCCCGGGATCGAACCTTTGTCTCCTTCACTGGTAGGGGGATCCTTTGCCACTGAGCCACCTTGTGCATAATCCGGGACTCCGGAGAGTGGCGGAGAGCCATGCCTTCTCTAGCCAGGGTGAGTTTATTGCTCGAGAGGGTGTGGCACAGGCAGCAGGCCCTGTGCTGCGCAGAGGAAGCTGACGGAGAGCCTGAGCCGTGCGGAGGTGACTCAGAGAGCGCGGGGGACCACTCTCCCTGCGTCTCCAGCCACATGACTCTTCCGTCTGCCACAGGGCCACTGTTCACATCACACTTCGCTGTGCTGGGTGCGTCCCAGTGGAAGTGGAAGCGTCCCATGTGGAAGTGACCACGTGCAAATGCTCTGCTGTGGTGCACCTGTTCAGATCCTCCTGTGCCCTGGGAGGACCTCTGGCCTTTCTCCATTCTCCATTCTCGTGTCTTCCTGGTTGGTGACATGCCCAGGTCCTAGACTGGCCTGGGAAATGAGAGAGGTTTATCTCATTCACACGCAACCCTCCAGGTCCTCTAGGTCATCGAAGCCTTCAGTGTGGGTTTCCTTTGTTTGTAGGCCTGTGGGAAAAATGGGTACCTTCACCAAAATAATACATCAGTGGACTGTACGCGTTTCTTTGCTTACATTTTCAGCAACCCGGGGAATTAGTTTTTCTTTTTGTCAGTGTGACAGAAGAAAAATGGCCTTTCATTGTTTTCACTTGCATTTCCTTAACTATTTGACAGCATGTATTTATTAGCTTTCTGTATTAGCTTTTCAGTTTGGATCCTTTGAGCTCTGGGTGTCACGCCTTGGCAGTGGGTGGGAGAGCCAGCTCTGATGGCAGTGCCTGTGCCAGGGCTTGTCAAGCGTGGTGACCTTCTGATTCTTGACCTGCTTGTGGTCTTTTGTTTTAACAGTTGGTTTCTGCCTTACTAGACCACTTACTCAGTGGTCGGCATTGTTCTCACCCTGACTTTCACACTGTCTCCTGCTGGAGGAGAGAGATTTCTTCTGACCCAAACTCCACCTCGAGTCAGAGCATAGGAATTAAAAATGGAGAAATATTTGATCCCTACTGCCAGGAGTCCATAGTCCAGGGAACAGAGAAACACCAAACCCAAAAGTAACAAGGACAAAAGCACCAAAAAACCTAGATAGTGAGTGAGAGCCTTGAGCACTAATACCATGTCAAGAAGGGTGAACTCCGGATGTCCTGAGGTTTCTCCAGGAAGTGGTGGCTTCTGCCTGTTGGAGGTATGTGGAGAAGGAAGACTTTGGAGCTCATTTCAGCAGCTGGACAAGGAAGGGAGGGCCTTCCGTGCAGCAATTGTAGAGGCTTAGGTACACTGGCATTTGGAGCAAATTACAATGAAATCTGTGTGTTGGGAGGAAGATGTGCCTAGAACAGTAGCTGGGGTCAGCTTACTGAGCCCTGTAAACTGCAAGGGCTTCCCTGGCGGATCAGCGTGCCCAGCAGGAGGTTCATATTCAGTCCCTGGGTCAGAAAGATCCCCTGGAGGAGGAAATGGCAACCTGCTCCAGTATTCTTGGCTGGGAAATCCCATGGACAGAGGAGCCTGGTGGGCTATGGTCCATGAGGTTACAGAACAGGTGGACATGAGTTAGCAATACCCAACAACAAACTATGCAAAGGAATGTAGCTCTCATTCTGTAGGCAAGCAGGAATCGTCGTTACTTGGTGGTCTAGTGTTGTGCTTATAGCCAATGTTTATTGTGACACGCCAGGAGCTGTGCCAGGCGTTTCCGCCGCCGTGCCTCGGTCTCAGGTTTGTGTTTGGCAGCGGGGAAGATGCATTGGCGGGGCCAGACTAGGGGAGAGAGATGAGCTGCAGCAGTTAGAAAATGGTGGCTGAATGTGAGGATGGAAAGGAGGAGACAAATTGCAGAGATGTGAAAGGGACAGGGCTGGGGTTGGGTTGGATGGATGTTGCGCATGGGGACGTGGTCTGGGAGAGCCTGGGAAGACTCAGGTGTTTTTCATGCATTCTCCTGGTTAAGCACCTTTGTGACATACTTTTGTTGAATCAAAAGGCACATAGGTTCGAAGCCTCAATTTCATCATGTGTTGGTGCCCTGACATTAGACCAGCTATATATGGCTGAGGGCTTATCTAACTTCTCAGGGGGCTGCTTTTCTCAGCCATCATGTGAGGCTAATCTGACTCTGGAGGAGAGTCATAGTGATTGAATGATGTGTGAGTGGTCGTGAGAAGGCTGAGTGCCAGACACACGGGGCCTCTTATCCCCACAATGGGATTTTATTTTACAGCAAGAGCAGCAAGCATGGGTTTGGAGATGGACATGTTGTAGTGTTTCATGTGGAAGGAAATGTGGTGCCCAGAATTAAAAGGCAGAGCAGAATAAAGATATGCTCAGGAGAATATGATGAAAAAACTAACTTTTATTTGCCTTTTTTGGTAGTATTTTTGTTGTTATTCAGTTGCCAAGTTGTGGCTGACTCTTTGCAACCCCATGGACTAAAGCATGCCAGGCTTCCCTGTCCCTCACCATCTCCCAGAGTTTGCCCAATATGGAGCTGGCATTTTCCAAGAGCTCCCCCATCTTGCACGTGCCTGGGGGTACTGCGGGACCTTATTTATAACCAGGTAGGATCCACATGTCCATGGCGGGTTTTATATAGTTAACATACATGATTTTCATTGTAGGATCCGAAGTCAAATTTGATCCAACAGTGGTTATCAGAAAAAAGTGATCTTGGAGTTGTTTCTAAAACTTTCCAGTTATCTTCCCATCCAATACTTGGTGACTGGTCCATCCAAGTTCAAGTGAATGTGAGTATACATACATACATTTTGTAGGTGGAGGAGAGGAAAGTTAAAATGTTTTAAATAAATCTGGTGGGGAATGTATCTCTAAAGTCATTTATTTCAGTTAACAGAAAAAATATTAATATGAGTATCTAGATAATTTAAGTGATTTATTTTTAATTTGCTGTTGTTATCAATGGGTTAGCCTGTCTTGTAACATATTGGAGTTTTAATCATGTTCTTTTTATGTAACATTTGAAGGTTAAAACATTTCATATTTTAGTATAAAGCTGATTAAATGTTGTTTATTGTACTTAGTTATTGCACTCATTGAGTATTTTAAAACTAAGTAATGAATACATAGCTATGATTTGGCAAATCTTATGTCAGAATGATGACTCCTGATGAGAGTCATCTTTGTTTTAAAAATGCCATAGACCTGAGACTTAGAGAATGAACTTATGGTTGCTTGAGTGGGGAAGGATGTGGGGGAAGGGATAGTTAGGGAGTCTGGGATGGACATGTACACACTGCTATATTTAAAATGGATAACCAACAAGGATATACTGTATAGAACAGGGAACTCTGCTCAGTGTTATGTTGCAGCCTGGATAGGAGGGGAATTTGAGGAAGAATGGATACATATGCATGTATGGCTGAGTCCGTTCACTGTTTACTTGAAGCTATCACAACATTTTTAATCATCTAATGTTGTTCAGTTGCTAAGTCGTGTCTAACTCTGGGACCCCATGGACTGCAGCATGCCAGGCTTTCTTGTCCTTCATCATCTCCCAGGGTTTTCTCAAGTTCATGTCCATCAAGTTGGTGATGCCATCTAACAGTCTCATCCTCTGCCACCCTCTTCTCCTTTGGCCTTCAATCTTTCCAAGCATCAGAGTCTTTTCCAGTAAATCTGTTCTTCACATCAGGTGGCAAAGTATTGGAGCTTCAGCTTCAGCATCAGTCCTTCCAATGAATATTTAGGATTGATTTCCTTTAGGATGGACTGGTTTGATCTCCTGCTGCCCAAGGGACTCTCAAGAGTCTTCTCCAGCACCACAGTTCAAAAGCATCAGTTCTTTGGTGCTCAGCCTTCTTTATGGTCCAACTCTCACATCTGTACATGACTACTGGAAACACTGTAGCTTTGACTGTATGGACTTTGTGGACAAAGTGATGTCTCTGCTTTTTAATACATTGTCTAGGTTTGTCATAGCTATACCCCAATGCAAAAAAAAAAAAAAAATCTCCAGTGACCTTAGACAGCTGCATCAATCTTCTGTTCCCCATCCTTCTTTCCGTCTGGCTCCTCCACCTGCTTCCCGTGTTTTCTGCCAGCTCCCCTGCTCTGAGATCTGCAGCCTAGGGGCACTAGAACGCCATCCATGTCTCTGCCGCAGGTTTTCTCTGGAGCATCACTCGGTGGTGTTTGAAAAGTCATTGAATTTTTTCTGATTTTTTTCTTTGGAATTTATTAAAATATATATAAATTCACAAGTAGGAGCTTTAAAAAATAGGGCTGTTAGAATAGGGCTTCTCCCTTTTGGCGTTACAGTAAAAAATTCTTTGTTGTGGAGTCGGCTTGTGTCCTGTTGGACGTTTAGCAGCATCTCTGATCTATACCTGCTAAACACCAATAGCTTCTCCCCCTCCAGGTCGTGACAGCCAGAGATGTCTACAGACAGATGTCCCCTTTGAAAAATACCCTTTCCCTTCTCCGTTGGAGAGGGCTTCCCTGGTGGCTCAGATGGTAAAGAATCTGCCTGCAATGCGGGAGACCTGGGTTCGATCCCTGGGTTGGAAAGATTCCCTGGAGAAGGGAATGGAAACTTGTTGGGGTCCTTTAATGGACCGGAACCTGGTGGTACGGAGTCGACGATAAGAAAGTAAAAGAGAGAAAGGGGCTGATATTCCCTGGTTTATGCAGAGGACCAATAAAGCCCTTGACACAGGACTTGCATCGCTCACAAAGGCACCAGGCTCCTTCTCAAGGGGGTGGAGGCACAAAGTGCCTTCTCGAGAGGGTCTTAGAAGCCCAGGCAGGAAAGTGAGCACGACGGTCTCCATGCTCCAGAGAATCAGCCAGAAAGAGAGAGGGAGAGAGAGAGACAAAAAAGACACAGGGACCTAAGCTCTGATGGAGCAAAGGTGCTTTAATGATTTTCCTATGAGTATATGTAGGCTGTGGTACAAGAAACTTCTTTCGGGAATGATAGAGATCAGAAAACCAAACGTACAGCAACCGTTACCAAGGGAACAAGGGGTAATGTTAGTCACAAGGTCAGGAGACAATCCATATCTCAAGAAAGGGGAGCAAGACTAAGCAGTTTTGTCCTAAAGAGAATGTTTACTAAGGGAGACCCAAGCCTGCCTCACACAATGACCTCAGTCCCTGGGAGCAGCGTGCTGTTCCGCTTGAAGAGGGACAGAGGACTCATGAGAGACGGCACGTAGGAATCCTCCCATCAAACACTCTCTGACAGAAGCTCAACTCCAGTATTCTTGCCTGAAGAATTCCATGGACAGAGGAGCCTGGCAGGCTACAGTCCATGGGGGTCACAAAAGAGCCAGACACGAGTGAGTTACTAATGCACACACACATTCTCCATCCGAAAACCACTTTATTAGAAGGAATAATCATTCATTAGCATGCGAGCTGAGGGAAGAGTACCAAGTACTTATTTTAATTTAAAATTTAAATTAAATTTATTTTAATTTAAAATTTAATTCAAAAATAAAATTAAAAATGAAAACAGATTTCCTTTAGTTAGCATTTTTTTTGGAGGGGCCACGTCTGAAAAGCAGAACTAAGTCCCCTTAGTCAGCACACAGTTTTGGAGCATCTGCCTGGGGGTGAAGTGCACGCTAGGCTCGTGGCGAGGCTGTGCCGCAGAGGAAGCCAGAAAGCCCGGAGGGAGTTGTGGGCAGAGAGCGGGGCGGCGAGCTCTGAGTGGCACAGACATTTGAGCTTGTAGAGAAGGAGGTCAGGGTAGGTGTTCCGTGAGATCTGGGCAAGAGGAGGGTTTGTGTAGAGGGCGGGAGGGTGGAGGAGAGGCCCAGGGCCTGGGGGCTGGGGAGAGCAGGGGAACTCGAGCAGGTCCAGGAGGATGGGAGCTGAGGGTTAGGAAGCACGGTGTGAGTTTTAAGGTATTAGGAGTTTATTCTATGTCCCCCCATTTGGGTTTCACTGCAGTTTTCCCAGGAGCCAGCCATTTGTCCATCCGTCCTTCCATCCATCCATCCATCCATCCATCCATCCATCCATCCATTCATCCGTTGCCCATCAAATATGTGTTGAGAGCTTCTAGTGCTGTGGTGTGATACTGGGAAGCTAACCAGCTGATCTTTGTCTTCAAAGACTATTGTGGGGCAGACGACTAACGTGATAAAAGTTAAGTGACCGGAGGGTGATGGAAGAACTTGAGGTTACGCAGCTGCAGAGGACGCATGAGGCGCTGTCGTGAGCCCCTTCAGGTTCCCCCAGAGGGAGTCTCGCTCAGGCCTCAGGGGGCAGAGAGGGTGGTGTCTGCTGTCAGCTGAGCGCCTATGCTCTGGGGCCAGCGGCCCCCTCTATCCTTGCGGTCAGCCCGTCCCCTTGCTCTGCTCATCCTCTCTGGGCTCGGTCTGGGCTGAGCACACTGACTCAGCCTAGTAACAATCATCCTCAGGGTCCTGCAGTCAAGCCTCTGCACCGGAGCTGGCAGCTTATGGCTGGGACACTGGGTCATGTCCACCTCTGGCTTGTTCAGAAGCCACCTCCGCACAGTGGTTGAATGGGACCATCTCAGCCTTGTGGTAGCAGCCTCTGAGGGATTTGTTCAGTGAGTGGTGCACAGAATATGCACCAGAGGAGAAAGGAGACTGGAAGAGTGGAGAAAGGCTGAGACTGTAGGGTAAAAGAATGACTGGATTTCTCATGCAGTAGTTTTTTTTTTTTTGTGGACTTGACCTGTGTTATTGATTTAATAGCCCCCCCCCCCAAAAAAAGTAAATGTTCTTAAGGAAATTAAGTGCTTGAAAAATTAGAAAGCATTCACAAAATCTTGTCCTTGCCTACCTCTTTGGCCTTGTTAAGGGCTGTTCTCACTCTTAAACCCTGTGCTTTATACATATTATCCCCTAAGCTTCCTAAACTGGCCAGTCTGTTCTGTCCCAGAGCCTTCATGCTCCCTCTGCCTGGAAAGCCACTTTCCTGCTGTTTTTCTGGCTCCTGGCATTTATCCTCAGGCATCGTCTGTGATGGCCTGGCCCCTCTGGACGGTTGCGTAGCATGCTGTGCGTCTCTGGGTCCATTCCTGTCACTCCATCGGCAGGACCTGAGAGGCAGAGGCTTATTTCCCTGTATCTTTGAGACGCAGCACAGTGCTTTTGCAGAAGGTAGAAGTCAATGTGTGCTTGTTATGTGGATGCATGAAAACTATATGACAGTCATTGGTCTTGAACTAATGTTCAAGACGTTGCTAAATGTAATGTTCCCTTTACACATTCTATAAACATCTTTATCCTTCTGAAGACAGGCATATTGATTAGGAACTTGTTATTGGTGTTATGATGTTTTTTCCTTCTAGCTTTATCGAGATGTAATTGGCAGATAAGATTGTAGGATATTTAAAAGTGTACAGTGTGATGATTTAATATGCATGGACATTGTGAAAGGATTCCCCTAGGTGATAACAATGTTAAGGCATGCAAAACGTTTCGTCACTAAGTCATGACCACATGAAGTGTAGCCTGCCAAGCTCACCAAAGCCTCCGTGGGATTTCCCAGACAAAAATACTGGAGTGGGTTGCGATTTGCCTCTCCAGGGGATCTTCCTGACCCAGAGATCTAACCCCTGTCTCTTGTGTTGGCAGGCAAATTCTTAACCACTGAGCCATGAGGGAAACCCAAGGGAAAATAGACCATTTTATTAAAAAAAGTCGCTCAGTCCAGTCCAGTCCAATTCACTCAAAAAAAAAAAAAAAAAAAAAGGTCCTCCAATGGCCACCAGAGGTCAGTATAGTCAAAGAAATGTTCAGGGAAG